TCTAAACATCTTTTGTTGCACTCTAAACATGCTTCGACGCACTCTAAATATGTTTTGACGCACTCTAAAAATGTTTCAATGCATTCAAAACATGTCTGGATGCACTCCAAAAGTGTTTGGACACACTCTAAACGTGTTTGGACGCACTCTTTGGTTGTTTGGAACTCTTCCAACTAATAGCCCCACCGTTTAGACAGAAAACGTAACCTGACTGCGATCTGAAGTCATCTCTGTCGGTTTGGAAACTAGCATCGGTATAACCCTTTATAGCGAGCTCGTCTTCTAATCCGCCATACACCAAGAACAAATCCTTAGTCCTTTTCAAGTACTTAAGGATGTTCTTGACCGCAATCCAGTGAGCCTCACCTGGTGTAGACTGATATCTACTAGTCATACTCAATGCATATGATACATCCGGACGAGTACATAACATGGCGTACATGATGGATCCAATTGCCGAGGCATATGGAATCCTACTCATGCGCTTTTGCTCATCCTGTGTCTTTGGACACTGAGTCTTGCTAAGAGCTACGTCATGTCCCATTGGCAAGGCACCCCTCTTGGAGTCTTGCATCTTGAACCGATTCAAGACCTTGTCAATGTATGTACTCTGACTTAGACCAAGAAGCCTTCTCGATCTATCTTAATAGATCTTGATTCCTAGAATATAGGCGGCTTCTCCTAAGTCCTTCATCGAAAAGACCGATCCTAGCCAGGATTTTACTCCTTGCAAGGTAGGAATGTCATTTCCGATGAGCAATATATCATCCACATAAAGTACAAGGAAGACCACTGCGCTCCCACTGACCTTCTTGTAAACGCATGGCTCATCTTCGTTTTGCAGGAAGCCAAACGTTTTGACTGCCTCGTCAAATCGAAGATTCCAGCTCCTCGAAGCCTGCTTCAGTCCATAAATGGATCTCTGAAGCTTGCACACCTTCCTCGGACTCTTAGGATCAACAAAACCCTCGGGTTGTGTCATGTACACATCCTCGAGCAAATTCCCGTTAAGGAATGCGGTCTTGACCTCCATCTGCCATATCTCGTAGTCATAATACGCAGCTATGGCCAGCAGAATCCGAATGGATTTAAGCATCACAACTGGTGAAAAGGTTTCATCATAGTCTATACCATGAATCTGCCGAAACCCTTTCGCGACGAGTCGTGCCTTATAGGTATGCACGATGCCATCCATGTCGGTTTTCTTCTTGAAAACCCACTTGCATCCAATGGTTTTAATACCATCGAATGAGTCGACCAAAGTCCATACTTTGTTGTCGTACATGGACTGCATCTCAGACTCCATGGCCTGGTGCCATTTCTCGGAAGCGGAACTCGCCACAGCCTCTGAATACGACGTAGGCTCGTCATGTTCCAACAACATGAGTTCGTCGTTTCCAGTCACAAGAAAACCATATCTTGTAGGCTCTTGGCGAATTCTACCAAATCTCCGAGGTTCACTAGGAGGTGCTGTCTCAACAACTTGTGACACAGGTTGAACTGATTCGCCCTGTTCACTCGGTTCCTCGACTATTTGTGGTTCTCGAACTTCTTCGAGATCTATTCTACTCCCACTAACTCTCTTGGAGACGAACTCTCTCTCCAAGAAAGATCCATTCCGAGCAACAAACACTTTGTTCTCAGATGGGTTGTAGAACCAGTACCCTTTAGTTTCCTTAGGGTAACCCACAAATATGCATTTATCAGACTTGGCGGATACCTTATCAGAAGCTCATGAGCGAATCCTATTCCTAAGAGATCGATTCTAGGGTTTGCGCAGCGGATGTAAAACAAAAATTTAATAAACCCTAGAACCATGCTTCTAATGAATCGTAGAAACGTTAGAACGCTTACCTCAATCGATCCGGGGCCTGTCTCTATCGATGAATCGTTCTGATCACGAAAGGCAGGAAGATTACCTCGCCCTCTACACGTATCCACACCTCGGGATGGATTCCAACGATTGGAACTTGTCTGCTAGGACTCGAATCTCTATTCGATATGTGCACTTTGAGAAAACGAGACTTAGAACTTGTTGAGTCTTTTGGATCTCACCAAAAACTCTCCAAGAACACCAAAAGTCGGCTGCTAAAAGTCTCTCTACATTAGGGTTTTAATCTCTATCTTATATAGTGATTTAACCCTAATTTCGGTTTAATTTTCAGAAAACCGGAACCCGGAACGGACGGTCCAGAAAAGCACTTGGACCGTCCGTTCCAGCATGTAGGACGGACGGTCTGCCTAAACGTGGACCGTCCGTTCCACCACGTAGAACGGACGGTCTGCGTGCTAATGTGGAACGTCCGTTCCAGTCTCCAGAACGGACGGACCACACGTCTGGACCGTAGGGTCTGGACCGTCCGTTCCGAACCTTTCGGTCCGTCCGGTCTGGACCCTTCCGCCTCGGTTTTCCGTCGTTTTCTCTCGTGTATTCGTCCTTCCCTGCGTGTGTGACTCTGTAGGCTCATTCGATATAGCAGTATAACCCGAAATCTCTATTTCGGGTATACAAGTCATAGGCGGTCTCTAGCAAGACACTATGACTACCTATCTCGAATAGAGTTTGTTTGTGATCATACGAAAGCCAGTGATGATTCCGACTGATGATCCTTTTGTATCGCGATATCATATGTCGAACATAAGGCATGGACAAGCCACCTTATCTGATTCGACTGCTTTCTCGTTCACTGAGTTCGACTGTCTGAAATAGACGACGTTCGTCTATAGTGCGGCCACACATTTCTACAGTCTTGCTCACACGAGGGGTCCAGCGATATCTCTCTCTTTTACGAGAGGTACAAATCCCGTCTTGACTATCTACAATCTAGTACATGATTCGTTTCGTACCTGATACACGCCTTTATAGTCCTCCTGTTACGCAGGACGTTTGACGTAATCAAAGCACGCAACTCCTCATGTTGGATTCTGTAGATATCTCAGGTCTTAGGATTCAATCATGGAATCGTCGTATGAGATTCAAGTCATGACGCTAGTCCATGTGACAATCTCATGCGGGTCAGTCCAGTATTTCGTTCTGCAACGAATACCTATGATTTGATCGTATCCAATATCTATGATCATCTATGTGATCATCAATCACAGATCATACTAGTCTTATTATGTCGTTATTCCCATAATGACACAAGACTAGGGAGTTTAGTATCATTCATAATGATACATGGATTTCATAACAGATCTAGCATGCAGGAACATGTAATGAACAAGATACTCTCATAAAAAAACATATAGAAAGTATCAATACATCGAATGTATCTGAACAAAGCTCATAATCAGTACATCATAGAGCACTAAACCAACATACCTGGGTTTGATTTCAAGTATCGAACCACATGGACCGTGGCATTCCAATGATCTTGACGGGGTATCTACATGAACTGCGATAAAATGTGAACACTGTACGAGAGCTCTGGTCGTGTGACGGTAAGATAGATGAGTCGACCAACTAATCGACGATACCTAGCCGGATCTATGAGCAAAGGACTATCTGAGAGGGCAAGTCGATGATTCTGATCCAACGGGAAAAATGTGGGCTTACATCCGAGCAGACCGACCTCTGATAAAATATCAAGTGCATACTTTCGTTTGGCTCACATGAATACCAACGTGGATCTCGAAGTGCGGCTTGATAAGAACGGGGCTCGACATCAGCGGAGATCGATGCCAGAAAAACGCGATGAGAAGTGGGGAACCGGTCACAGCCGAGGACATGAGCAAGGGGATAAGGACTGCCAGAAGTGGGACGATCATCGGAGACAGGAGAAGAGCGCTTAACGGACACAGTGTTGGTAACATGATCCTTCAGCCGAGTAGAAGGAAACTTTTGCCTCTTGCCTCGTCCAAGATCGTCGTCCAAGAGAGGTAACGCAGATGAAACCGGCGACAGAGAAGCCCCCTATCGTCTGGCTGTGCAACCCGAAGTGCTGACTCAGTGTCAGCCATCGGTTCGGACGGAGAATCATTCGACAGATGGGACGATGCAGGTGAAACAAAATCACGCTCATCGTCGACGAGTAGAAAGGGAGCCGGCTCGGAACCAGGGTCGGCAGGAGACGGCGGTGGAGTAGCAACCGAAACAGAGAACGGGAATTGCAATTCACAAAAGCTGACATCCCGAGAAACCAAGAACCGTTTATTGTCAAGGTCATACAAACGCCAACCTTTCTTGCCGTAGGGGTAACCAACAAATACGCACCGGATGCTACGGGAAGCAAATTTATCGCCTTTATGATCATTATTACGAGCGTAACACAAACAGCCTATAGCACGCAAGAACGAGTAGTCCGGTGGTCGTCCGTATAGCATTTCGAACGGGGTACGACCCTTCAAAACAGAGGAGGGTGTTCGATTAATCAAAAATCCTGCGGCCAGTACACAATTGCCCCAAAATTCGATCGGAAAATGAGCTTGAAACATCAACGCACGAGAGACATTGAGAATGTGTCGATGTTTTCGCTCAACCCGACCGTTTTGTTGCGGTGTATTCACACACGAGGTTTCGTGAATGATTCCTCGCGAACGAAATTCATCATGGAGACAAACAAACTCGGTACCATTATCAGATCGAACCGTTCGAACTTGTGTCGAGAACTGTCATTCAACCATAGATATAAAATCAAGAAGATGTCGGGATACTTGAGCCTTATCCGTCAACAAGAACAACCACACTCCTCGAGAAAAATCATCAACGATTGTGAGAAAAAATCTCGCTCCGCAAAAGGACGGAGTACGATACGGACCCCACAGATCACAGTGAATCAGCTGAAAAATACCAGTCGTTTTATTCGAACTTAACGAAAAAGAATCACGAGTCTGTTTAGCTCGAAAACAAATGTCACAAAACACATCCGAACAATCAACAGAACCAGAAATACCAAGAACAGAAATCTGCTCTAAGACTTTCGAGGAAGGATGACCCAAACGCCGATGCCAAACGTCATATGAGCACGAGTCAGAAGTTCGAACAGCCGCCGCAAACTCAACCCCTCGGAAGAAATAGAGATCTTCACGCAATTCACCCGCTCCAATCAGTGTCTTCGAAGCCCGGTCCTGAATGTAGCACAGTTTATTAGTAAACTGAACAATACAACTGCAATCGGCGAGCAACTGTGAGATCGAGATAAGGTTGACATGCAAGCCATCAACAAAAAACACATCCGAGAGATGTAGGGCAGATGATAACCGAACATTCCCGGACCAAGTCGCCGTCGAGTGTCTGCCATCCGGAAGAGTAATGTGAAAAGGCGACATCGGGGAGATATGGTCCAACAAATCCAAACATCCCGTCATGTGATGAGATGCTCCTGTATCAAGAATCCAATGAACAGAGGAAGACGTACCCGACGAAGTCTCGGTTGCCCCCATCTTCCCGGCAAGGAGAGAAATCAGGGTCTTCCACTGATCATCACTAAGGTCGGCCGAAGGAGGTCTGTCCGAGTCGACAACAGCAACAGAAGACGAAGACGCAGCAGGTTGTGACACAGTACGAGTCGCATTAGACCGACCAACACCGGGACCGCGAGCACCACCCGAAGATCCCGAACCGCGACCAGCTCGATTTCGTGGGCGATCTCCCCACCACTCCGGGTAGCCTAGCAGCTGGAAACACGAATCAGCCGCATGACCTGATCGCCCGCAGTGTGTACAGATGACGGACTTGTCTTTTACGGCAGAGGAGGCGCGAGGCTTAGCTGTTGCATTAACTGTGAAGGCCGACACGTTAGGAGTATTATTGGACCGAGACAGGGAATCTTTAGAAGCTTCGTCTTGAACCACAACGAGGTAAGCTTCCTCGACAGTCGGTAGAGGAAGACGAGACAATAGGTTCGATCGAACCGTGGCAAATTTTGCTTCATCAAGGCCAAGTAAAAACTCGTACAACCGATCCTCTTGATGTTGCTTCTCGAGTTCGGCCGTGACATTGCAGGAACAACCTCCGCACTTGCACACTTTAACCGCCCGAAGGGAAGCCAAGTCGTCCCACAATTTGGTGAGCTTACCAAAATATGATTCGACCGATAACCCTTGCTGTCGACAATTTGCGAGATCACTCCTAAGACGGAGCAGTCGCGGGGCACTAGTCATCCCGAACCTCCGTTTAAGATAATCCCACAAATCCTTCGCAAATTCACGATGAATCACGTCCGAACGCAGGCTTGGCTCGAGCGTGTTCTTAATCCAAGACACGGTGAGTGAATTGTTCGTTTTCCAATCTTCAAAGTCCGACGAAGAAGAATCCGGTTGTGGTATTGCACCACTGACAAAACCAAATTTCTTCCTCGATTTCAAGGCATGCCGAATGTTAATGGACCACTCCTCATAGTTATGGCCGCGTAACAACGGCTGCGAGAGAATCAATCCCGGATTATCACTGGGACTCAAATCGAACGGAGAAATCGTTCTCCGTGAAACATCCGGCAAAACCGTCCTCGTTGTGGAAGACATGGCTGGGTCGGTCGGGGTCGGAGGAGTAGACTTGGAGGGGCCGTCGGGATAGATCGACATGGCGGGCTAACGGAAAAATATCAGATTTTCGGGCTCTGATACCATAACAAATAGAGAGAGAGATGGCCAAAAGAAAGCTGTCGATTAACATTGCCGAACGTATGCATATATACAACTTGGACCAATTTGCTAAACCTAGGAAAAATAGGAAACAATATCAAAAAGATCTAACTGACTATGGAAAGATAATATCAGGGGAACTAAATCCCGTAACCTTCGCTAACACAGAAGATAAAGGTTTCACCTTTCTGTGTGGCCCGAGCAGCTGTCGAGATTCTAGACCTTTCCATTCTTCTGTTTTTTGTTTTCCGGAAGGGTGTCAGTAGAACACCCACTTCTTTCTGCAGGATATAAAGACAGTAACGGAGACATGATACTGAAAGAGAATAGCCGGAGATGATTGTTAGGCAAGTTTCCGCTTATTCAGTTGGTACAGCATGAATCTGCAGAGCCTTGGGTCCATAGAATGTTAGACAAGTTTCCGGTAGAACCTGAAATGGGTCAAGCACGTTGTCAAAGCTAAAACCCGATCGTCCACCTAAAATTAGAACGCGGGTACCAATTATTACCTTCGACGTGGGTTTTTATGTGTCTAGGTGTTGATAACAAAAGAAAATAAAACTAGAAACAATGAAAAAAAAAAAGATGGATGAGAATAAAGAAGAACAAGGGAACTAAGTCCCTTTTTAACAAAAAAAAAAGGAACTAAGTCCCTTGTTGGTTCATGTTTATTCAAAATCTAAAAATCCAAAATATATACACGTGTGTTATCTTTTGTGCAATGGTAAAATAAGTTACAATATAAAAAAGAATATTTGATAATAATGGGTGCAACACAAAATGGTAAGTGGAGATGTTAGGTGTATAATTCGCTGAGATTGTATTTTGCTTAATTGATGATTTTGTTGCCTTTTCTTGAATAGGTAGAATGTCACGGATGGAGTTTCCAGATTTTGCATCGTGCATGGCAAGTCACGTACAAGCTGGTACAATCTCGATCATCTCATCTCCAACATTCCCCTCAAGATTAGCTAGAGAGATACCAAAAGCTAATCTTGGAGAGTAAATGCCTTCGTGATTGCGTTGTTTTGTATCCAAGCATTCCAACTTTATCCGTAGAGTTTCTTCGATTTCAAACTTCCTAAAAAATCTCATGTTTATATTTATTTGCTGTAAAATCTCAAAAGAATGATTAAAGTACACATGGGAGGCCATAACATTCCGTTTAATCCACAAAATCGAACATAAATATGCAATGATATGCTTTTCATCAAAGAAGAGTAAAAATAATGTTCTAACATGTTTGAATTCGAGTTTTGATGCGAAAAACACATTATATGAGTGATCATAAAGAGTTTCAAACATTTCTTCTTGATTATCATAATGGACATTCATACTATTAATATTTATGAGATTATCATTCAACGCATACTTAAATTCATCGGGATCACAAAGAAAAGGTTTGAAAAGTTTGATAAAACATTTACCTAGCCTAGAGTGTTCATAACTCATAGGTAATACCATCTCTTTTGGTTCTTTCGATGTTTGTATCATTTTTGTGGTAGAGAAACATATGAGTGTATCATGCCATTCCCCCTCACTCGTGAGTTTCGCAACTCCATGAAACCTCGTGATTATTTGTTGTATTTTCTGTTCATAAACATTAAAAACACCAAGCATATCACGTGGAACACAAAAATCAAATGATACAGGAGAATAAAAGAAACTACAAACTCGGTATTTTGTCCATGTGAATGAGATGCTCGGATTCTTTGTTATGTTCGGATAAGGAATGATGTCGGATGCGTGCGATGCCTCTTTTTCAGGGTTCATTGCTTCCACTGTGGGGTCATTCACTATCACATCCATTTTTATTCCTTCTTTTTTTGAGTTTATTGCATCCAAGTCTTAGTCCTTCGCATGGTTTTTGTCTTCGGTTTGTAGTTTTCCATCCATTTATTAAACATTGAGACAGATTTTCTTTGCTTGTAACCTGAGTTTTTTGCATCATTTCAAAAAATTCGCCAGTGTTTAATAAATCCTTAAGAAGAGAGACACTTAACTCAAATTTGTGTGTATTTACCGTTTGCACCAACGCTTCTTTGATTTGCACAGGGAGTTGATTTAGGATGTCTTCTACATCCCATTATCCCTCGTTTTGTTCTTCCAAATATGGTTCGTCATCCACATACATGGCTTGAACTTCCTCTATGGAGAGATTATTCCATGCATCAACCTTTTCCTTTGTACACCAAAATTGTTCTACAACACCGTTAGCATGTTTGATGTATGAACAATTATTTTATTTTTCATCTGCAAGGCCTCCAAAATCATCACAAGTACACCTCATATGACCTTTTGGGATGATATAAGGTGGATGAAAAAAGAGTAAAAAAAATCGAACTCTCCTTGGCTTGAAAGAATAGCCTAAAAGGGGTAAAATTTTCAAATAACACGAGAAGGCTCCTTCGCAGTTTCAATGGATACCGGAAGGGAATTTGCTTTGGTGTTTGCAGCGGAAAAAAAAAACTTTTGGCACCTTAGATCTTAGTGCTCTGATACCATGTGGGTTTTTATGTGTCTGAGTGTTGGTAACAAAAGAAAATAAAACTAGAAACAATGAAAAAGAAGATAAACGAGAATAAAGAAGAATAAGGGGACTAAGTCCCTTGTTCGTTCATGTTTATTCAAAGTCTAAAAATCCAAATATATACATATGTGTGTTGTCTTTTGTGCAACGGTAAAATAAGTTACAATATAAAAAAGAATATTTGATAATAATGGGTGCAACACAAAATGGTAAGTGGAGATGTTAGGTGCATAATTGGCTGAGATTGTATTTTGCTTAATTAATGATTTTGTTGCCTTTTCTTGAATAGGTAGAATGTCACACGGATGGAGTTTCCAGATTTTGCATCGTGCATGGCAAATCACGTACAAGCTCGTACAATCTCGATCATTTCATCTCCAACATTCAAGACGTCAACCCTTACATTCCCTCCCCAAAAGAATGTGCACCCTTTCAAGCACTTGGCCTCGAGAATGTATGATGATAGAGATGACAACATTGAAATCTAATGTGAATCAACGTACAATCAGATTCATCATATTGATTCCACAGCAAAGAAAACGTTTTTTCCTCAAAACATTAACCCATTTGACTTAGAGGAAGGACTGGCCTCTGAGCCGACTTTGAGGAGCAAGGGCAGGTAAGTCATCCGAATGAACTACTTTATCCACAATCACGTCAATCAAACCTAGCAAAGATAACGTCCTCGCCTTCTTCAATACATAATTGATTATCTCTGCACCATTGGTTGTCAATAAGGTGTATCTTTCTCCAGGAAAATAACATCTTACTCATTTAACAGGTTCAACACTCTTCTTAAAATATTCAACAACTTTCGGAAATATGTACATAAAAACATTCAGAAGTTGTTCAAAAATTTATAACAATCATAATATAGTAGTATTTACACCGTAATGAAGTCTTGTCTGTCATATAATTCATCTCACAGAACTGTAAACTTTTTTTATATGTAACTTTCAACATATTTATAGAACATCCCAACAACACTATCTCTATTTTTATTCCTTTTACCTCATACTCTTTTGTTCACTAGTGTCCTGATGTTTTGGGAGATGTGATACGCACAATGTGCATGTATAACTCTCTTATATACATCACAGACAACATTTGATATGCTTTGATGTCGATCCGAGATCACAACCATGCCATTGCTATCCGGAATCACTTCTACCAATTTTCTTATAAACAAATTCCATTAATCATCATTTTATGTATCAACTATCCCCCAAGCTAGAGGATATAGATTTCGGTTACCGTCTTGGGCTGTGGCGACAATCAAGAATCCTTTATATGTTGTTTTAATAGATATCACATCTACGGTGATCACTTTCCGCATTGCACACCCCTTTGATACAAACACCCAAAGCAAAAAAAAAGCATAATTAAAAGTTTTTCCGTCATCTTCCAATTGTATATCCGCTATTGTACCTTCATTTGTTTTCATTCAACATATGAAAATAACTCGGAAGCCTATTATAAAACTCGGAAGGCTATTTCTTACCAAACACATTATTCTTTTCACTCTTGAAAGCTTAACTTGACCCGCATAATGCCTTTTCAGATACGCTACAACCATCTCTACACTTCATTTGTTTTCCTTTATTTTCTTCTCGTTGTAACATCGGTGAACATGTATGAATATTCACATACCTGGTAACCATAAAATTCTCAAATTTTATTTTAACCACTACTCGCACTTTTCACATACAACTTTTCTTCGAAATCGACATCTTGCTTCCCATAAATGTGGTTCTGACTTATATACGTAGTATTCAAAGCATGCATCATGTGAAGCTTTCATTACCTTCATTTTTAATTCATCCTTATTCACAAACTCTTTACCCACGGTAAAGCCCAATCTATCTTCGAATGAGAAACCTTCGTTGCCTTTTGCATGTCTTTGACCATCATTCCTAGTCGTATTTTCAACTGCAATATCACCAGTCACAATAACCATTTCATTACCAAACTCAATCGTATTTTCGGCTGCAATATCACTAGTCGCAACAACCACTGCTTCACCTAATCGGTCATAATATCCTCAATCGTAACAATCACTTCATTTTCATGTCGTATATTCTCATGCAAAGTCTCATGCTCACCCCGATATGAATCATCAGTCACTTCCACATGAATTTGTTCCCTTTCTTTTTCATTAATAGCTCTCAGCATAGAATCAACAACTAAACACCTACCATCAATAATCTATCTTTATTTTTCACCATGAACATCAACTTCAACCTCAACTTCACCTACACACGTATGAGGTTCAAGGTTTGCATAAGATCCTTCCACTCAACATATAACCATCCTCATCGTCCATTAATTTTGCTAAACATAAAAGATTTAACCCCCATATCATCGACTATATATTCCGGTCGATTACCATCCATTA